AGAGCTTAAAAAGGAACCAGGCCCGTTTGGGTTAGAATGAGCAAAAACCCATAGTAAAACCACAACGAATGCAAGGAAATCATAGCGTCACATATGGGACGCGCACCTACTAGTAGTAGTAGTAGTAGTAGTAGTAGTAGTAGTAATAGTAGTAGCAGTAGAGTAGAAGTAGCAGTAGTAGCAGTAGTAGTAGTAGTAGCAGCAGTGGTGAAAGCGTCGGCAGTGGTAGGGAAATGGCACTACGGCAGGAATGCGCCGGAGTCATGTGTAATCATTTTCGGTGCCCAAATCTGGGCACCAGGGGTTAAAACAGTAAAAGCTGAAGTTTTGGGGTCTACTGTGCCGGAGTTTTCTCTCACTTTGAGGCGTCGTAGTGGCAGAGGACGTCATCCACCATCTACCACAAGTCCAGCTGAGGATTCCAGTGCTTCCACCGGAATTCTTTGACACGCTGCTCAATCGCCTTCAGGCGTTGAGCTTGCGCCCCATGAAGACTTTGCATCCATGTCCAGAAGCCATCCAGGCTGCAAGTTCCCGCAAGCACTCTCTTGTGTTCTTTTCGTTGTTTCCCTTTTCCCAAACTGTGAAGCAAGTCTCTCTGAAGCCAGTTCTGCTGGAGACAAGATCGCCACCGTCCGGTGGCTCAAGTGCTGCCAAGGCAAAAGGGCTATGTGTGTTTTTGGCGAGCTGCCACTGCGAGCACCACAGTGGTAGCGGAGCCTTGTACTTCTAGGGCTTAGTAAGGGCACTGCCCGTAGTCGTACGCTTTGCACTCCGCTAAAACATGGCCACTACTGCTGCAGCCTCCGAAGCGCGAGTTCCTGATGACGAGCTTGAAGAAGAGCTCGAGCAAGAAGAAGAAGAAGAGCCAGTCGACCCGTGGGCCGGCGCACACCGGGCCGGAAGCAGACCGGCCAGCAGTCCAGTGAGCCCAGTTGATGCAGCTTCCGAGTATCGCCGCTTCCTGGACTACCTCAATCGTGGCAGCCGACGACGCAGAGACCGATCTGGTGACGAGGACGAGGACGACGGCAACGGCAGAAGCAATGCTGGACCTCACCTTCATGGGATGGAGCCACCCCTTCAAGGATTACCTGATCAGGGCAAAGCTATGGCTGGCCACGACAAAGGTGAAGCCGAGAGCCGCGGACCTTTGCTCCTGAAGAAACTTTCTTCGACGCCCTTCGACGACCTGAAGTACCTCGCTAAGGACGACTCCTGGTTGGCCTCAACAGACAACGGGGAGCAGCTCCTGAAGATCATGGGTACGAAGGACCTCTACGGCGAGGACGAGCGAGAAGACATGTTGCAAAGCTTGGTCAAGATCACGTACACGCTGCGACGTCAAAAGGCCGAACGAATCGAGAGTTGTTTTCCAGGTGGAGTAATGCCGTCCGCAAGATCAAGGAGCACAACATCGAGCTGCCCGGCGAATATCTTGGATTTCTCCTCACGATGGCTCTTCAATTGACAACCGAAGAAGTTAAGCTCCTCCTGAACTTTACGCAGGGGAAGCTTGACCAAAAGTCCGTCAAGGAATGGGTCCGGGTGCACGAAACCGAGCTGCTATAGAGTGGAAGAAGTCAAGTGGTCAGGTCGATGGCGAGAAGGCAGCGGCGGTCCATCACCTGCACGGCGACGGCGACATCGAGGACTTCCACGACGAGATTGATCACGACGAGGCCGAGACGAACGACGATAGCTTGGAGGTACTGCTCAGCGCGATGCAGGACCTGGACGCCCCCGACGGCGCGAACACTTCAGGAACAAGTGGCTGCTTTGACGAGGAGGATGCGCGCGAGATCCTGGCCGCGATGGTTCGTGAACATGCCCAGAAGAAGACCTTTACTGCCGTGAACGCCGCCAAGAAGATGAAGTCTCTCGCCCGCGGCTTCGGAGCCGGAGCTCGGAAAGGCAAGGGCCATGGCAAAGGCGTTTCCCTCGATGGATCTTACCGCATATCCATCGAAAGCCTCAAACGGCGCACACGATGCGCTCACTGCCATGAGGTCGGGCATTGGCATAGAGAGTGCCCGAAGAAAACCTCGAGCTCGACTACCAGACCGACGCCCGAGAACGCCGTGCATTACATGGAGGCTGGCTCCCACGAGGCGATGTTCATTGGCTACCAGGACTTCTTGAAGATCAAGCAGGCTGCCTTGTACGAGGGCGACGACGGCCAGGCAGCCGGAGCCAAGGACCCTGCCATGTCCCACCAACAATACATGCCGCGCGTGCCCAGGGTTCATGAGGCCATGTTTGTTGAGCAGGTTGCCGTTGCGTCGCACCTTAGAAATATGGACGAGGACCTTTGTGCAACGGTGGACACAGGATGCCAACGCACCGCAGTTGGTAGCTCTACACTTGGTAGGATGCTTGCCAAACAGCGTAAAGGTCTTGAAGCCGTGATCAAGCCCGAGACCCACCACTTCAAATCCATCAACGGCACTACAAGTACAAAGCATGTGGCTTGCGTACCTTCATCGCTTGGACCCCGGGGATGCATTCTTAGGCCAGCTGTCTTTGATGAGGGAGATACCAAAGGGGCACCCTTCCTGTTATCGTTGCCTTTCCTTCTGCATTTGTCTGGATCCTGTTCAAGGGCTTGAGCTTTATTTGAGCAAATACAAACATCGTGTTCCTCTACATATTGGGCCTTCCGGATCACTAAGGGTTTGCCTTCAAGACTTCCAGGGTGACATGAAGGAGGACCTCGCCCACGCTTTAAAGTCCATTGCCGTTCACGAGTGCAGTCACATTCTATAAGCATCCCGGAAAGTGATCGGCTCAGCAGTCAACCTCCTGCTTCAATCAGTTCCCAAAGCTTTGGTGATCCTCTCCAGCATGCCCACGGACTCCAAGAGAAGCCGCGTGGAAAAGGAGGAGAACGTCCGTCTCCAGATGGCCTGGCGGCGCATGGTGCTGAAACAGCTCACCATCCTGGTCCACACGATGCATCGAGTGGTCTTCTCCAGCATGGGCATGAGCATACCGCCTCTGCTGCCAAGCCTTCTGGACCCGAAGCCCGTGAATCAGGACCCCAGACGACCTCCGTCTCCAACGCAGACCGAGACCTCAACGGGCAACTTCATTGCGATCGACGACTTCATGGACAACGACCGCTCGGCAAATCGGATGAAGTGTTTCTGCGGTGGATCCGGTCACGCTGACCACCAGGAAGGAGGGCCGGAACTACGGCAGGGTCTTCCTTCGCTGCCCACGTTGGCAGCTGCCGACAAGACGCTGTCAGTTCTTCGTGTGGACCTCCGAACAGCCCCATTGGACGCCCACGGAGAACGCCGAAGCCTGGCTGGGATCGAATCCCTCGACACCACCGCGGACCACGACAAGGCGAAGGAGACCGAGGCGGTCAGTCAGTGCCGACACCTGAGCACGACAAGTGCGGGTTCGAACCAGTACTACAAGATGGTCAAGCGCAAGCACTGCAACGAGATCCTCTCCAAAGTTCCAAAGAACGTGGACAAGACAAGCCAAGAAAGGATCTCCACTCCGTCATCGTCGAGCGCAGCCGCGGCCACGAGCACGAGCGCGAGCAAGCCCAAGCACAAGACGTCGAAGCCCGAGAAGCCCAACGAGGACGAGTACGAGGAGTACCTGGAGTTCAAGAAGTTCCAGGAAATGAGGAAGGGCAACCGCTAGGAGAGTTGAAGCCTTTGTCTCAGGGGCAAAGCCGACATTTTGTTGGCCACCTTCGGAAGGCGGAACTCCAAATCCAGGAGATGGAACGCTGCCTTTGTGAATCGGATCCTCACTTGCAGCTCCAATACCTGAGGAAAAGTTCCGTTGTCAGCGAGGTTTTCAATCCTTGCCGCTTTGGTAGTAAGGCCAAGAAGTTCAAGTTGCAGTCCGGGAAAGCATTTGATATCCGTTTAGGGCACGACCTTCTGCAACCTTCCATGCAGCATTCAGTCCTGAACTACCTGCAGACAGAGAAGCCTGGACTAGTTATTGTATCTCCGCCATGTGATGGCTTCAGCGCCTTGAATCACCTACTAGCCAATGTCCGCAGACATGACGTAGGTGCACTCAAGAAATATCTCCATCGAGTTCATCAAGGCAAGATTCTTCTAGAATTCGGGGTCAGAGTTTGTGAGCTGTGTCAAGCCTTGGGGATCAGCTTCATACTTGAACATCCCTGCACCGCGACTTCATGGAGCCACCCGGCTGTACAAAGGCTGCTGCGGATCAAGGGCGTGAACAAGGTCCATGCAGACCAGTGTGCCTATGGACTTCACAATGAACATGGGCAACCTCACCGAAAGAGCACGTCCTTCGCTGTGAACAACCCGCTCCTGGAAAAGGCCTTGCAAAGACGATGTCCCTGCGACCACGAGCAAAGCAAGAAGACCTCCCAGTCTGCCGGCATCTACCCGAATGGTCTGGTCCACGCCATTCTTCGGGCCTATGCCAAGTCGATCCACAGGAACGCCGACGAGATCCATTGGATTGACTCCGACGAGGTGATCCAGGTGGATCACAACAAGGACGTCAACTATACTTCGGCCAGGGCTTCATCGACTACTACAGGAACGACCGCGTGAACGTTGACTACGTGACGGACACGTCCAAGGACTATAAGGAGGAGCTCGAGGTCTATGTCGGCGAAGACGGACGTCCCGCTGAACGTCCAGGAGTACCACGACGAGACGGTTCCCCCGAGACCTTTGGCGTCGAGCCGCGACTGACTGAGGAGACCGGCTGGCGCGAACTTCCTGGATTGGCTGGGTGAATGTCGTCGATACCAATGGTGGTCTCGAAAAACCGGAGGAAGGTCACGAGGCTCGGCGACTACCATGGCGAACTTCATGGATTCGACGAGGCGAACGATGGCAACTCTTCGAGGACGAGGTCAACTGGCAAAATCTACATCAACAACCTGTTCTTGAACCGTGCCTTCGGTGTGTTTGTCTACACCGAGCTCGACTCGATCTCCGTGCCGATCGTCAGTTTCGACACTTTCCTGGGATGGCCAAGGTGACTCTTCAGCAGATGGCAGATGCTTCGACGCGCCCACGAAGGACTTGGACATCCCGAACATGGCAGGTTCCTCCGGATCTTGCAGAACTCCAAGGATTCCGACGAAGTGCTTGAAGAAGCCAAGAAATTTCGCTGTTCGACTTGTGAAGCGCGACACGACAAGGCGCTCCCCCGAAGGAGGACCTCTTCATCAACGAGCGCATCGGAGTGGACACAATCCACCTCCGGAACCACCAGAACGAGGCGGTGCGATCGTTGAACATTATAGATCTCCGCACGCATTTTCAATTGGTCATTCCTATGGCTTCCGAACCTTCTTCTGAAATCCGCAAAGCTGATAGACAGTGGATCAGCTTTTTTGGGGTTCCCAAAAAGGTGTTGTTTGACCTGGGCACTGAATTTCAAGCTGAGTTGCGGAGGCAGATCCAGAACGATGGCAGCGAGGGCCTCATCAGTTCTTTGGAGACCCCAACACAACGAGGCCTCACTGACCGTCCGGGGGGGGTCTTCAAAAACATTCTTTACAGGTCTATGATGGACTACCAGTGCTCTACTCAAGCCGAGTTGCTCGAACTGGTAGACGTGGCCATCATGACTCGAAATCGCCTTCTACTTCGAGCAGGATATTCACCAATCCAACGGGTTGTCGGATATAGTCCTCGACTTGCTGGAGGCCTACTATCCGGAGGCGAAAACGATCACATGGTTGCCGGCCTGATCGCAGTGGGCGATGTGGACGTCCTTCGAGCGACCAAGATGCGAAAGGCAGCAGCCATAGCTTTCCACGAAGCTGATTGTGATCAAGCTTTACGTTCAGCCACCCTCTCAGGACCAAGGAAGCTAGCTGACTTTGAAGCTGGCCAGGCCGTCTTCTTCTTCAGGAGGGGAGCAGACTCGACCAAGAAGCTACGCCAATCGTATTGGCATGGCCCGGCCCGGGTTTTGATGACCTCTCTGCCCAACTCTGTCTGGATTTCATACAACAACACCGTGGTGCATGAAGGCATCTCCAGAGAGAGTTCGACACGCCACCGAGGAGGAGAACATGTCAGTGAGCGGCTGGTTACGTGGCCTGTGCAAGACCCGACAAGCGTTTGAACAAGTTCCTTCCAAGCACTTCCTGGACCTCACCAAGGACGTTGACGACATTCCCGACGAGCACGATGCTAACGAGGATGACGACGGTGACGCTCTTCAGGAACTACTACCAGATCCTGACCGACGAGTACGACGGAAGACCGGCAACTACTTGACAAGGAACGAGGCGGACGAGCAGAACGTACCAGCGCAAGCTTCCGAAGCACCTGGCAATACCGAACGTTCACGACCACCTCCTGGACTTGAAGGCGTACTACCTCCTCCACAGCCAGCGGGCCCGGAAGGAGCCGAACACGAACTTCTCTTGCCGGACGACAACGAGCAGGCCAACGAGACGGAGGACGTCAACGGCGACGAGGTCAACAAGGAGGCGACCGGCACGAAACGCGAAGCCGAAGACGAAGCACTTGGCCATCCAGGCAAACGCAGTAGATTGGATCTCATCGAGGTGTTCAATCTTCATCTGCAGAATCTCATTCGTCAACGCCAAAAGAAGGAAGCCAAGTTAGCAGACTTCAAGGGTGCTGACGCAGAACGGGCCAAGAAAGCCATCCTCAAGGAAGTCAACAACAACCTTGGGATTAAGGCGTACGAACTCCTCGGTCACGAACTTTCCAAGAAGATCCGTAAGAACAAGCCAGAGAAGATCATGGAATCTCGTTACGTCGTCACCAAGAAGCCCCTCGAGCCCTCCGACGGGGCGAAGGCACAAGCTGAAGGACTTCTCCTAGACGACTTGGACTGCTCGGCAGAGGCGAAGTGCCGACGCGTCATGAAGGGCTACTCCGAAGAAGCGGCAGTGGATTTGGAGTTCTCCGCGCCTCAGGTTCTTCGAGATTCTGTGATCTTCATAGCGCAGGTGATTGCCAGTCTTGGATGGGGCCCAGGCTTCCTCGACTTCACGCAGGCCTTCCACTCGGGCGACGAGATCAACCGCGAGCTTTACTGCTCTCAACCGAGAGAAGGCATACCTGGAGCCCATCCAGAACAGCTATTGCGACTTCTCAAAACCTGCTACGGCCTCACAGACGGACCCCTTGCTTGGTACCGTCACCTGGTCCGTCGACTACGTGAGCTTGGTTATCGACCTAGCCATGCCGATCCCTGTGTCTTCTTCTTGCACGGTGGCAGTGATGAAGAACCTTAGCTGGAAGGCATCATTGGAGTGGCCACGGATGACTTCTTTCACAGTGGAAGCGACCGACGCTGCATGGAAGAACATCCAGAAAATCGCCGACGAGTACACCCTGGGCAAGAACCAACGAGGCAAGGGACGCTTCACCGGCAAGGACATTGAGCTTCAATTGGACGGCTCCATCAAGATCAACCAGGAGTTTTACATCAAGGACCGCGTCCACGACATCCCCCTGCCGAAGAAACGGAAGCAACAAAGGTTCTCCAAGTACACTCCCACCGAGCTGGAACAACTTCGCAGCTCTTTGGGCCTGCTCTCCTGGCTATCCAAGGAAACCAGGTGCGACCTAGCAGGCCGAGTTGCTCTACTTCAACAAGCTTTCCCTGAACCAAAAGTCATGGACCTCACCGAAGCCAACAAGATCTCCCACGAGGCAAGGAAGCACGCTCACATTGGCATCAAGGTGATGCCAATCCCGCTCCACAACCTCAGGGTATCGCTCGTGACAGATGCAGCCTGGGGTAACACCAAAGATCGTGCATGGATTGAAGACAGTCCCGAAGACTATTGGGAAGAGCAGTCCAACTACTGGGTTCGACATCACGTCAAACCAAGAAGAACGACCTTCCATCCTGGAGCTGCTCAAGGAGGACCTGACCTACATGCGATCATGACGAAGAGGACTACTCAAAAGTTTGACCTGGACAAGGACAAGCTGGCAGAGAACGTCATCGAGGATGACTGGACAGACAACCACGGCGTTCGAGTGCTTCAAGACGCTCCTTGGACCGGCGCCACCAAGTTCGCGAAGAATCCGGACAACAAGCTCGACGCAAAGAAGGTTCACACTAGCCTCGCGCAGCTAGAACCTCAGCAGCCAAGGCGGCCAGATCGTGATCTACCACGACAAGTCTCTTTCCGAGAACGAACTGCCAGCGTCAACCACGGTGGCAGCGTGGAAGAGTTACCGTCTTAAAAGAAAGACGGTTGACGCGCTGGCTGCTGAAGGGCAGTCGCTGCAAGCAGGCATCGGCTCAGTTCATTGGCATCGGCTACTTTTCACGGAGGCCTTCTACGGCGTGCTGAACCCAGCAGAGTGGAGAGGAATAGCAGGGCGTTTACCTTTTCTTGCTGCCGTAGATCCCAAGTCTTTGTATGATGCCGTCAATAAGTGTGCTTGTACAGCTTCCTACGTTAGTGACAAGAGGACAGCTGCAGATCTTTCCGTCATTAAAGCAGACCTGGCAGAGACTGGCGGAAATATCCGCTGGATAGATACAAGAGCCATGATTCAGGCCATGATTGCAGATCCGCTCACCAAACAGCATCCCGGAACGTACCTAAGGTACGTGCTCGAAAGCGGGAAATGGGCAATTATGGAAGAGGGGCACGCTCTCCAAGCAAAAGCTTTGGAGAGAGAAGCGCACCTCTAGCATGTTTTTCCTCACAGTTTGGGAAACTAGAGTTTGACCGGTGTTCTTTTCGTTGTTTCCCTTTTCCCAAACTGTGAAGCAAGTCTCTCTGAAGCCAGGTTCTGCTGGAGACAAGATCGCCACCATCCGGTGGCTCAAGTGGTGCCAAGGCAAAAGGGCGATGTGTGTTTTTGGCGAGCTACCACTGTGGTGCGAGCACCACACTTGAGATCCTTTGCGGGCAGCTTATACCTGCGCAACCTTGACTGGTTCACACTATCCATTCTGGCGCCCAAGGTTTTGTAAAGGCGGAGGGTACGCTTGGGCCCCATATACCCGCCAAACGGATTTTGGGTCAAATTGCTCACCCCGCAAGATGAACAGTGTTCTTTTCCCGCGAGGTTCACCCCTTGTCCCCTACTAAGGGGCTTACAGGTGTTGGTAGTAGCAGCAGAAGCAAATGCAGCCATACAAAGTGTAACTGTAGTGCGCCCTGTCATTGTCGTAGTAGCGAAATAACCCCCCACACCCAGCCCACCCCCCACACTTCAATTCCATGCACAGTCATATCTGTCGTTGTCCTTCCCACCCACCCCGCCCCACCCCACCCCGCCCCACCCCACCCCGCCCCCAGTCCAGTAAAAGGCACAGGCCTAGCAGTATTGTTGGTATTATTCGTCGTAGTAGTAGTAGTAGTAGTGGTGGTGGTGGTGGTGGTGGTGGTGGTGGTGGTGGTGGTGGTAGTAGTAGTAGTAGTAGTGGTGGTGGTGGTAGTAGTATCAGTAGTAGTAGTAGTAGTAG